TGTTCATGTTCTTTACCTATTTGGGTATTAGACCTTTATCAGAGATTTGGTTTGCAGGTCTTTTCTCCCACTCTGCAGATTATCTCCCCATTCTCCTGAATATTTCCTTTGCTGTGCAGATTTTATTTTGATCTAATCAGTTCTATTTTCACTTGTGTTGCTGGGCTTTTGGGGTCATATCTAAAGCAGTCATTGCTCAGCTCAAAGTCATAAAGCTTTTTTCCCTGTATTCTCCTAATAGTTTTATAGTTTCAGGTCTTAGATTTAAGTCTAATCCCATTTTGATTTTATTTTATTTATTTATATATATATATATATATATATATATATATATAGTGTAAGATAAACCTCCAGTTTTCTTTTCCTGCATTTGGGTGGACAGTTTCCCAGCCCCCTTGCTGAAGAGATGGTGCTGGCCCGTGGCATGTTCTTGGTGGCACAATGAGTTTCTCATAGACAGCATGGGACAGGGCCATGTTTTTAGTCCACTTTGTTTTTAATGAGACCATTTATATTGGGAGTAGCTACTGAGATGTTAAGACTTAAGTCTGCTGTTTCGTTTGTTTGTTTTATTTTGTTTTCTCTTTGTTGTTTTTTGCTCCTCTTGTTTTTAGGTTTTGTTCGCCAGGCTTCCTGTGGCTTACTGTCTTTTTGATACGTTTTGATAGTGTTTTTAGGTGTGCTCCAGTAGTCTTTTGGGTTTGTGCTTGCATTTGTGTTTTTTTAATCATTGCTGCAGTATCTCTGTGTCTGTATCTATAACCTTCTATCTATAGGACTTATCAGTTAGACTGCTACTATCTTACGATCTTACTAGTTTATGGGAAGAATAGAAACCAAACCCCACTCTAAAATTATTCGCCCTATCCTATTTATAATTATTTCAGGTATTTCCTAGCCATACTGTTCATATCAAACAGGACAGTAGTTTCAAAAGGCCGTTTTGAAGACGCAGCAGGAAAGCAGAGGCCTTTTGCATTTCCTGTTTTTGCCTACTGTGTTCCTTCTTCCCTCTCTATGGTGCACCTCCCTCTGCAGCCGAGCTCCTGGATGTGAGGGGCAGCGCCTGAGAGCTCTCTGTGGGGTCTCTGTGCCCCTGCAGCTACTGGAAAGGGGCCTTTGACTCCTGTTGTCCCCACTTGCTGCTGCCATTCTGTCTTGTCTTTGATTTTTAGACATTTAACCATGATGTATATTTGTGTGTATTTCTTTGGTTTATTTTGTTTGGGGTTTTCTCGTCTTCTTAAATATATGGTCTCCTTTCTTCCCTTCGGCCTTTGCATTTCTTGGTGGCACTGTCATGGTGCTTGCCATCACCGCTCTCCTTGTTAGTGGCTGTCTCCAACCAGTGTGGCACTTCAGGACTGTTGTGTGCACTGACAGGGCAGTTCCTGGGCCGTGAGAGATGAGGGTCTCAGGACTGAGCTGTGGAAAGATGGGCTTCCAGCTTCTAAGGTAAGGGGGCAGCAGATGCAGAGGCCCCATGATGGAGGTCTCTGGGAGAAGGGTGGAGGGATGATGGAGACCTTTACCCTCAGAATCCATGGCTGTTGAGTCGGGAGATATGGACTTGGCTTGGCTCTGAGAGAACAGGAAGCCAGTGGGGTCAGTGTTACTTGTTGAGCCCCGAGAGTTGTCGATGAAGTTGTCGATGAAGGTCAGAGTGGTGAACAGGGAAGGGGTTGGGCTGAGCAGGTGGGGGCCGTGCGGAGACAGACAGGTGGGTGGATGGCCTGGAAAGGGTTCAGTTCCGTGCCTTGCCCATTTCGCATCAGTACCTAATGGGAATCCATGCAGCTGGCCCGGGGCTCTGCCCTGGGAATCTGGAGTCCAGGTGTGTGCCAGGCCAAGGCACATCTGTAGGCAGTATCTGCATGGAGTGGCACTGAAGCCACAGACTGGACAGGCTTGTTGGGTGTGGGTGGGAGGCTTGGGGGCACACAGACTCTGCCGGGTCCTCCTCTACCTCCTGTTAAGTGAATTGAAAACATGTTCAGTCCAGGCATGGTCTGTAATCCCAGAGGCCAAGGATGCTGAAGTAGGAGGATCACCAAGTTCAAAGCTAGCTTTAGCAATTTAGTGAGACCCATTTTCAAAATAAAAACTAAATAAATTAAAAGGGCTAGAGATGTGGATCAGTGGGTCAGCACCCCTGGGTTGAGTCCCCAATATCCCTACCACTACCAAAAAACACATTCAATCCCAGGCACTGACGAGAACAGAAGAAGAAGCTTCTAGAAGGCCTGTAGGGGAGGGGTTCCAGGAGGAGCTGCCCATCCATTGTGATTCCAGGTGACCAAGCAGGGCAGTGGGCCCTTGCTTCCTGTTGAGTCCTTTTGGAACCCTTTTGTCCATTTTTTTCTGATAGCCCCTGATGCTCTGGGCGGATGGGTCAGTGTGGGCTGGGTGGGAGCAAGGCCTGGGACACCCTTGGGTCCCATGAATAAACAGATACAGCAGCAGATGGGTTAGGGCTTGTTCACCCCATGCCTCAGAGAGATCTGTGGCTCCCAGAGCTTCAGTAGGAGCAGAGTGTTCCCCAGGATCAAGTTCTGAGTCCCAGGAGACCTCATCTATCCACTGGACGGCTCCTCACTCCTGCAGTACACAGAGCCTCTGTGCTGGCTCCCTCCTGCCTGCAGATGAGGAAAGGCGCTGGCCTGTGTGACAGATCCCTGCTGACAGCCTGGAGCCGGAAGCACCCCGGGCAGGCGCTGACCTACTTTCTCCTCCCTGGGCTGGAAACATTTATGTAACAGACGCCGCAGGGCCCTGCTGTCCCTGTGGTGGAAGGAGATGCGTTTAATTAAAAAGGAAGCACTAAGCCCTGAATTGGCCACAGCACGAGGGGTTCTTTGGAGCTGGTGAATCAGCCTCAGCAGAAACGCAGATCTGAGCGAAGGGTTTTGCCAGGCTTGTCTGGGGGTCTCTATGGATATTTGCAGTTGTGCATTTGAGCAAGATATTCCTCTCTCCCTCAAGACCCCTCCTCCTGAGTGCCCTGCCTGGGCCTGGGCTCTGCTGGGACTGTGCACTCACCCTGGCCAACAGAGCTCTCCCCTGTGCCTCCCACCGGGCAACCAGCAGTCACACGAGGCTGTGTGCTCAGCACTTAGGTGCCTAGTGAGTTTTAGTCTTAATGTAGAGGGAAGCTTGTGACCCAGTGGACAGAGAGCACTAATGTGGAAGAATGGTTTTTAAAACCTCTTTGCTACGTAAAACCCGCTTTCAATGCTATGTAAGCATAACCGGCGGTTGCTCTTTGCAGACCTCCCTTATGCACCCAATGAGCTGTGTCTGTGCTTAATTTTTCTGTTTTCCTTCTAGCGTATTTTTTAGCAGAAATATTTTGATGAGGAAGAAATTTTGCCCCAACTCCTAAGCCCCAGTCTCTCCTGTGTGTGCCTGTCTCAGTCCCCAGCTCCGTCACATGGGACTGGGTAGGTGGGCTTCATGGGGTTTTGTCCTGAAGGGTTGTCATGAGACATTCCTGAAGGTAATGCTTTCCTTTGGTGAAGACTTAAGTGTGCTGCTCTCTGTGAGGAGCTCTCAGTGCGAGCCGCAGCCTCGCCCTTCACCTTCCCAGCAACTGCCCTTCTCTTGGTACACACCTGGGCAGGTATGCAGGGAGCCTGGAGGCCTGTCCATGGTACCCCAAATGCCCCATTCTGGGCTCCATGGACCCTGGCCCAAATCCCCCCAGCACTGCAAGCACCCCACAAACCAGCAGCCCCTACGTCCAATAAGCCACTCTTTGCTATCAGCACCGGTCACTGCTGCCACCTACCTGACTGAATAGTCAGGTCCTGTGGAGGCGCTCCATACCCATGTTCCATCCTGTGCCCTGCCCTATTTCCTCTCCCCTCTGGTGACCCCCACAGCCCCACACTGTGCCCCATGCAAACCACTTCCCATGCCACATTCCTGCACCTCACAGGCTGCTGGAGGGCGTGTGCATGCCCTTGCAGAGAGCTACTTAACCCTGCACTGCCTCAAGACTCTTCAGCTGCAGAATCAGAGTCCAGTCCCCTGAGGTGCCTCCACCCCACTCCTCCCACATCTGGCAGTTCCAGAATATCTCCTGGGCATGTGCATCTCTCACCCTCTAGCTTCTAGAATCTTTGCAGGACCCCGCTCCCTCCTCCTCACTGCTCCACCCAACCCTGGCTTCTTTAATCCTCTCTGAGGCATGGCTGGGTAGCTCTGTCTTGTGCTGGGTGACCCCTAGAAGGGGATGGCACAGTGGCCTGTGGGGACCAGTGTTGGCCAGTAGCTCACTGGAAGGCCTGGAAGCAGGTCACCACAGCAGCACAAAGCCATCACGTCCCTTTCCCATGAGCCCTTCCATCTTGCCACCAGTGATCCATCTTTGCTTGTAAAGAGTGAAGTGAAGCCTTAATTTAGGCTGGCAGGCTAACTGTGAGTGATTGCCACAGAAAGCATATGATCAGTGCAGACCTGATCAGAGAGAGCATCTGCTGATGGCTTTGGTCAGGAGATGCCAGTGGTTTGGCATCTCTAGTGACCAGAGACTGGGTCCACATTTGGGCCTGAAGACCACAGGGACATTGGCAAACGTGCCCTTCTGGCTGCTTGAGGTGATGTGGGTGGCCATCAGGGAAATGGTCGGAACTGAAACCACACGGTGAGCCATGCTGGCCAAGCTGGGCAGGCTGTCTCCAGGACACTCCTGGGGGGTCTCTGTACTCTGTGGCTTTGCGAGAGCTGCTCTCATGACCCTCTTCACAGAGACTGCAGTGACCTGCCCAGGTGATGTGGTTAGTCAGGTGGGGCCAGAACTAGCCCCATGGGCTTTCCTAGAGGCTCCTGTCCACGATGCCAGGCAGCGTGCCCCCGGGTGAAGCCTGAGCGGCCAGGGGAGGTGAGGGCAGTATGTTCACTCCCACTCAGGAGGCTGGAGCCCCAGGAGGCCAGAAGGCGGTTGGTTCCTGAGCTGAGGAGGTCTGCCCGGTGGTCAGCGTCTTGCCTTCTCTTTCCAGGTGACGCCATCTGGGCCCCATCCATCCTTCTTCACAGCACCCTCAGTACCTTAAGCCATCACCCCCATCCACATTTTGGGAGAAAGATGGAGTCCAAGGTCTCTGAAGGTGGCCTGAATGTGACCCTAACAATTCGCCTGCTGATGCATGGAAAGGTACAGAGACTTTGTTGCTGTCAGAGAAAGGGGACATCCCACTGCCGGAGTCTTTGCTCTGTATAATATTTTTTTAGTCTAAGCAATCTCAGACTTACAAAGCTTCGCAAATACAGTCCATTACACTTTCCTGGAACCCTTCTAGACTACCTGGCAGCCTAATGCCCTGTCCCAGAGTACCCCGGGGCAAATTTCTTCTGAATGGCCCTCAGAGCCAGGGCATCCCTGCAGATATGCCCCGCCTGGGCCCTGCAGGCCAAGCAGTGTGTGTGGCACAGCCTTTGATGGCAAGGGGTCCAGGCAGCACTGGAGCACAGCCTGTCGCCTCTTTCCAGTCTCCTTCCACCTTTGACTTTTACTGGTACAAGTTTCTGTCCAGCGCTTTTGTGACGTGGCCCTCACTTTGGCTTTGGTGGATGTTTCTCTGCCATTGACAGGAATTCACGGCAGCCTTCCTGTCAGTGGGCCCAGATGTCACTACATCCCATTCCTGGTGGTGTTCACATGAGCCCCTGGGTGGGAGGCTCCTGCCCCGCTCCCTGTGTGCAGCAGCCCCTCTCCATGGTCAGAAAGTCCCTGCTGGGAAGTCTCTACAGCTACAGGCCTTCCACACACTCATTCATTCCATGGTCCACTTGGACTCGGGCCCTCTGCCTTATCCAGTGGGCTACTTTTCCCTGCTGTAACTGTTTTGATCACTGTAGTGCTTGCCACTCCTACAGCACTGTCTCCCTTCATGGCTCATCTTTTCCTTTTCTGGTCCCCATTCTCGAGTCAGCCATGTCTCTAGAAATGGACTCCTTTGAGTGCACAAGAATATTTTGGAGGCTGGGATTAGGCCCTAGGAACACTCCCAGATCCTGGCCACTGAGGGACTTACACAGAGCCAGGGAACAGACAGTTCCAACATCCTCACTCTGAATTCTCTGTCCATGTTGTCCACCCCTCCAATTCCATCCCAGCAGCACAGGGCTCATGGTGGTGCCTGTTCCCCCAGGGCCTGTTCCCAAGAAAGCCAGCTCCTCTTGTCTGCACAGTGTCTCCCAGAATGGCAGGCAGCATAGGGCTGGGCTCTGGAGCTGGTGGGGCTGGCACAGCCAGCTTTGCAGAGGGCACATCCCTCTAGGCAAGCGTGGGCACTCTCAGACCTCCGTTTCTGTGGTGGAGAGTGACTGCCTGGCCTCCTCCTGATGCGACTATCTGCAGACCAGCTGCTCAGTCCCCTCCAGCTGCCACAGCTGCCACCATACCCTCTTGTACGAGGTGAAGTGGGCCTGTGACAGGAGGGTACGCCACTGCCCCTGCTCCCCTCCCTGCTCCTTCATCCCTGCATGCACGCCCTCCCCATAGCTTAGGAGCAGTGTGTAGGTTATTGAGGACTTGGCTCCGGTGAGGAAAGTGAGTCAGGGTTTGAAAGAAGTCATTCTCCATGGCTGGAAGCCATGCTGACCCTATCTCAAGTGACATGCCCCAGGGACCTCTCTGGGGCTGTCCTATGTGCAGAGAGATACTGGTACCAGCCCCGCAACAACATGTGCCCCACCACCAGTTGCTGCAGCATGTGCCAGTACTTCTCTTGGTATTATGTCTTTTAAAACAGCAGTGTGGCACTGCCCTCTGGGTAGTCACAGTCAGGATTTCCTTGAGGCGGCAAGTGTAGAAGTGCCCTCCTGAATCCCTGATCCAGAGCAGCTGGCTGCATCCTCCTCTTGGAGAGTCAGTCAAGCTGAGAGCAGCCCTGGTCTCAGATAGACGGACCTCTCTACAGACAGCCCAGCTGGGCACTCCCTGCCCCCGCCACATAGTCCAAATTCTCCCCTCTTGGGTTGAGAGTGTGGCCCAGTGGTAAAGGCTTGGTTCCATCCCCAGCACCATGTAAATAAAGGAATAAGTAAATACCAATCCCTCTTGTCAGGAGGGTGGATGGGTTCTGCAGCATCTGCCCCAGTACTGACCTCTTCTGCTCTGTGACATAATCTTTCTGTGATTTTCTTTTTTCTACAGGAAGTTGGAAGCATCATTGGGAAGGTAATTGGTGAATGAACTCTGCATCTTTCAGGGTCTCTGTAAGGACACGGTGAGGACAGTGGCAGCCCTGGTGATGGCTGGCTCCAGCACCCTCACAGCCCCAGCAGGCGTCCCGCTCTGTGCTGGGGAAGCGGAGATCCCCGGGAGCACTGCCATTCAGCCCGTTGGCACCCCTTCCTGCCTCAAGCTGCTCCAACGTGAGGCAGGTCCCTGGTGAAAGCACAGGGGGAGGCATTCTTCCTTGGCCCTGGCAAGGCCCAGATGGGAACTTTGGCAGCCCCACCCACCACCCGCTGCCTTGGTGGCCAACCCATCTTCTGAATATGTGACTCCAGGTCATTTTTACTTACATTCTCCAGAAGGTGGTGAATCTTCCTTGTGTTTCCATCTTAAAAAAGCAAGAGTCCCACAGGGAAAGGGCTGTGTGGAAGCTTGTGGCTCATGAAGGAGAAGAGCTGAGGGGCACTGCCTTCCCTGACCATCTCTGGGACCCCATGTCCCTTTTCTCCACTGCCACTATTCTACAGGGGAGCCTCCAGTTGTCCGTGTCCGGCTTCCTCACATGTTCTTTTTGGAGAGGGCCTCTCAGGGAGTCACCACTCATGGAAGGTGGTGCAGCCCTGCTGGCACCACAGTCTCAGTGCCACGGAGTGAGCACACCTACTTTCCCATACCTCAGCTTCCTCACCTGAGATGACGGCAAGGTCGTCAGGGAAGGGCTGGCCCAGTGCAGGGCAGGGTGGAGGCTGGCCCTGCTGTGTGCAGGTGCCTCCCTCAGGACCCCACACAGCAGAGGCAGCTGCCAGAACCAGGGACACACCAGGGCCACATGCCCCACACAAAGCTGCCAGTGACACTTTTCCTTGTTGTCTAAATCTGCATTCCAGAAAGGGGAAACTGTGAAGAAGATGCGTGAAGAGGTGAGTGTGACTTGTCCTGACAGCGTCCTGTACCCCATTTGGGAGGCGGGAGGGTCTGGGCTTCACCTGTCCTGGGGGGCCTGCTCATCCCACCCATGTGCACTGGGATGGAAAGCCTGGCCTGGGCTGAGGAGGGCCACTCTTCCCTCCGACACATGGCATTCAAGAGGGTTAGATGGTGGGGCGCAGGCACCCTTAGGGATGGCTTAGATTCCTTTTGTTAACCAAAGTTTCCCACTAACGGAGACTAGTGGAAAGAGCCCCACTGCTCAGGGCCAGACACTGGGCCCTCTGTGACCTGGAGAGCCCAGGTTGGTACTGCCCAGGTGGCTTTCAGCTACTGCAGCATTTGCTCTGCCCTTGCCCTAGAGTGGTGCCAGGATCAACATCTCAGAGGGAAACTGCCCGGAGAGGATTGTGACGATCACAGGCCCAACGGACGCCATCTTCAAGGCCTTTGCCATGATTGCGTACAAGTTTGAGGAGGTGAGGTGCACCTGTCTGAGCCCTCTGTCAGGCAGGGAAGGGCAGGCTGAGCCAGCTCCTAGGGCACAGGGGCCTGGACACCTAGCACATCCTCCCCTTGCCTCCTCTGCCTCCCAGGTACTCTTCCCAACTCCTGTCCACCTGGTGAGGGGCCAGCATCCCTCCTTTCTCCTGAAGCCAGCCACTCGCAGCACATGTACTTTGGAGAAGCCCACCTCACTCATGGTTGCTCAGACCCTGCCCCTATACATCCAGCCTGACCTCAAAACACACCACACTGATTTCCAGGGCTGCTGCTCACCCCCAGGCTGGGCCACCTGGCCCTGCACCAAGCCCCACTGTCACCACCCTTGTCCTGCTACCCCACCATCACAGCCAGCCTCCCAGGAGAGTCAGTGTGGCTGGGCTCCAATATGGACAGACAGAGCTGGAGACATGGGGTATGTGCTTGCCTGCTAGCAGAAGTGCGTGTGTGTGTGTGTGTGTGTGTGTGTGTGTGTGTGTGTGGCACTGTGAGCTTTTGACAGTGAGTTAGAGCTTAGTGTCTGTGTGTTTCCACTTGTCTTGATCCAGAGACGGGGATTGAGCCAGGAAATTAAACTTCTCTGTCAAAAATGAGGATAGCCAAGTAATGAGGCAGACTTTGTGAAAGTAAACAGGGAGCCCTCTGAGAACAGGCAGCAGTGTCCGTGAAAGTGGCTATGGCGAGGGCTTTGCCACCGTTTCTTGTCATAGGCAGGGCAGGAAAATGTTGCGTTGTAGACTGAGTGTGGGTCCCAGGTGTGCAGCTGGTGGCAGCTGGGGCCTGTGAGCTGGAGGTGACTTCCAACCATCAGAATCCCCATGTGAGTACTTGGGGGTCATATCTGCCTGCTCTGGCTGGTCCTGGGTGGGAGATGAGAAGCTGTGGTCACCAGCCAGGTCCTGACCATTGTGGGCCAAAATGGCAGAAGCTGTGCTCAAGCTCCCTGGGCAGGCTGCTGCAGAGGTACAGGCCAATACCCTCTTGCCACTTGTGGCCTAGCTGTCCCCAGTGTGCAGAGCCGGTGTCTTAGTCTCCCCTTCTGGTCACTCTCGCCGGGGGTCCAGATTTGTTCATGCTCACCTGTGCTGGGAGAGTCATGACCTTTAGCCGCTATGCCATCTCAGCTGTCTGTGATGAGAGTGGTTGCACTGACACACGTGGGACTCTGGAGAGAAACAGCCATGACCACTGTGACAGAAAAAAAAGTGGTGTGTCCCTGAAAGGTGCACTGGGTCCATGTGCCCAGGGCCCAGGCTGCGAGGCTTGGTGAGCCAGTGTTGTTTTCCCTCCAGTGATGTGTGGCTTGTGCCCTTGATCCTCACCCAGCAAGTGTTAGCCATGGTGCAGATGCCACCATGACCAGCCAATAAGAAGGGTGCCAGCAGGTGGTCGGTCTACCCTACCCCTAAGCACTTCTGCCAGGGTCAGTGGTGGGTCCGGCAGTCTTCTCATTGTGTGGTTCCCACAGAGAAGCACTGCTCTGACTGTGCACTGAGCAGGAAGTCAGTTATTCCTCCAGAAGAGCTCCTGAGTGATGAAGGTGGCCTTGTTTTGGGACACAAATCTGAGTCAGAATTCCCAGCCACAGCAATTTGTAGGATCAAGGTCTCTGTGCAGAGAGGTCTCATAACCCTCTTTCCATGAGGTACATGAGCTACCAGTCAGTCTAAGACTAACAGGCCCTGAGATTTCCTGGTTTCAAAGGCAGCAGTGCTGGCAGAGTCACCTGGAGGCCAGGAAAGAACTGTTGCTCGGGACAGAGCTGAACCAAGGCTCTGTTGGCTGGTCACACACGGTCTGCAGTTGTCTCTTCCATTGCTCTGTGAAGGTTGTTGAAGTCAAATTTAGACTAACCAATAGATTTTCTCACTGATCAATAGACGTCTATTTGTATTCCTAGAAGGTAAGGAAACTAGCAAAGTCACAAGCTGACTTATGTAGGGTCCCTTGCCCATGTTTGTGCAAGTGGAAAAACCGTCAGCTGCAATACTCCAGTATCTTAATCGACAACACAGAATTACCAGGCAACAGTTACCATTATTGTTATCCTGGGGCTCTGGCAACCAGTGGCACAGTGGGTGGACGGTAAGATTGAAGACGGTGGTGGGATGTGGCATGATCTAAGGATGACACTGAAAGCAGTATGTTGGTCTAACAGATACCATATAGTGAAAAGAAAAGAGACAGGAGCCATCATCAAGGGTACCAGCCAGGGGCCTGCTGGAAGAGGAGGAGTGTGTGTTGCTCAGCTTCCCGTCCCTGTGACAAGGACCTGAGCTGTCAACTTATAAAGAGAAAAGGCTTATTTTAAAGGGTCAAGGATTGGGCAGAACCATTGCTTTCAGGCTTCTGGTGGGACATGGGCAGCATGTGGCCAACAGTTCACCTAATGGCTGGGACACAAAAAGGAGAAGAGAAGGAGAATGGGGTCCAACAGTTTCCTCAAAAGCACATCCCCAGTAACTTCAAACCTCCCAATAGGCCCTACCTCTTAAAGATTCCACTGCCTCCCTGCAGCATTAAGCTGGGAGTCAAACCTTTAACACAGGGACGTTGGGTGACCTTTGCATTCCAGATGCAAACCATGGGAATTCACACCTGACCCTCAAAGGCTCGTGTTCATCTCACAGTTCAAAGTGCCCCCCACTCCTTAACTGTTCCTTAACTGGCACAGGGTGAAAATTCACATTCTGAAATGAATGAATAGGGGATGATAAGGAAGTATTGGGCCAAAGCAAGACCAAAGCTTAGCAGGGCAAACATTAAGTCCTATAGCTCTAGGTCTGGCATCCTAGGCATAGTCTGGTGGGATGTGGGCCCCAAGGGGCTGGGCAAGCCTGCCCCTGGCTTTCCTGGTGCCGCCCACATAGCCTCTCTCCTGGGCTGGCTCTGCTTCCTGCCTGCAGTTCCCTCCGCAGTGTGTTTCATGCTCCTGGTACCTCTAACGTCCTGGGGGCTTCCTTCCAGCTTGGGCTTCACTCTCACAGTTCCACACAACACCCTGATGCTCGTAGGGACTCCAACCCTGCCACACAGACCTGTCCTCCCAGGCTTTCCTTTGAAATCTTGGTGGCAGCCTCCATAACACCATAATTCCTGTATTCTGCATGCCTGCAAAACCTGCAACAGGGATGATGGAGGTCTGCTGCCAGCCTGAGCTGTGCCTGGCCTGAGGGCCTGGCTAGTTTAGGGAGCCCTAGATGGGAAGGGTTCTCTTTTCAAAAGGCTCTGCCTTGGAAAGTCTTTGAAACAAATTTGCACTTCCTCAACTCTGAGCCGTTGATGACTAGGCCTTGCCCATTCTGAGATGCCCTCCAGGCACCCTTCCTGTTGTCCTAGTGTAAAGCACTTGACTCTTTAAAAATTGTGTTAATCTCTTTAGCAACTGCATCCTCCTTGGCTAAACCTTTGAACAGTCTTCTTTTCTGGATGAACTGCAAGTTTTCCAAATCTTTTTGCTCTGTTTTTGCTCCTACTTACTATAAATTTGGCCAAAAGCGGCCAATAATTCCCTTAATGCTACCTGAATGCTGTTTTGCCTTGAGATTACCAGTATTAGATAAACTAGTCTGTCACCATTAAACTCATACAATAAGTCTCAGGGCATGAACAAAATATAGACAAGTTCTTGTCTAGAATGTAACACAGGTTGGCCATTAGTCCAATTCCCAGTAGAGTTGTCATTTCCATCTGAAGCCTCATCAACCCAATCTTTTCAATCTGAGTTCCTGTCAGCATTCTGGTCAGATCCCCAACCAGAATCAGCCATTAAACTCCCCTTAAAGCATTCTGGTTTTTCTTCAGTCTGATTATTCAAACTTTACAAAACTCCTTCCCTAAACCAATCCCCAAAGATTGTCCACTTCATCAATTATCATCACAACAACAGCCCCACTTCTCAGAACCCATTTTTCTGCTAGTAAGCCTTCCATTACCGTAACAACTACTTGAGAGAAATCAACTTACAAAGAGAAATGGCTTATTTTAGCTCAGAGTTTTGGACGTTTCAGTCTACGATATGCAGAATTTTTGCTTTTAAGCTCCTGGTGGGTTAGGGGAGGTGGGCAGCATGTCGTGGCAGAAGCAAGTGGCATAGCAAAACCAAAGGCACACCCACGGTGACTTTATACTGCCAGTAGGCCCCACCTCGTACAGGCTGAGGACCAAGATTTAACACATGCCCCCTTGGGAGACCTTCCAGATACAAATTATAGCAAATGATTATAAGCAAACAAAAACCAAAACAGAAATGAGAGGGTGTCCTGGAACGACGTCTTAAATGGAGACTGTCCACTGTCAACAACTTTCTATAAAGGGCTTGGTCAGCTTTCTATTTCTGAAGGGTAGCTGTTTCTAGAGACACTCTGACAAACCAGTGTGAGTCCTCCCAGCATGATACTCTGAAAGGTCCCTAAGGGCCCAGTGTGAGTCCCCCCTGGTGTGGCTTTCTAGAGGGTCCCTACACTGTGAGGCCCTGTTTGGAGTGATGGTTTAGGGTTTAGAGAGTCTGTGAGGGCCCAGTGTGAGTCCCCCCTGGTGTGACTTTCTAGAGGTCCACGAGACCCCAGCGTGAGACCCCCTTGGAGTTTTTTCTGGAAGACCCCTGTGGAGCCACTTATGCTGATAGGCCTCTGAGTGGCTTCCTAGGGTCTGTGGACTGCTGAGTTGTGGTCTTGGGTGAAGTTGTGGAGCTCCAGAACCCACAACCTGCAGTCTCTGCTGCGTCTGTGTCCAGCAGTGCCGTAGAAGTCCCCTCCCAGGACGGTTCCAGAGCAGCTGCTCTCTGGCCTTTTGTTAGGAGATAAGCCCTCCTGATGGAAGATCATGAAGAGGGTGTTTGGGAAGCAGCCTTGCCCTGCTGGGTGGGTGGGAGTATGGCTCCCTTACCATACATTGCCATTTCTGCCTGCAGCAGGACAGAGCCTGACATCAGGGTGGAATCCCTGAAGGCCTGGACCCTCCAGTCACCAGTCAA